AACAGATTAAGTAAGACTTTTGCCCTTTACAGCGCTATTGTCTCAGAATGATAGTAGCAAATGATGTGAATGAAGTAAGTGGGCAGTGCAGGTTTGAGAGTGGCTTGCTAATGTCTGAGGGTTTAACATTGACCGCTGTGTATCTGCTAGCACGACATTGATTCAAGAGTTTGTTCTTCCATTTTTTTTGAAGGATCTTTGCTTTTGGGCTTGTAATTGCTTTGCCAGCTCTTTGAATGTAGTTTTTTTTATATTTATTTGCACATTCAAGTAAAATAAAATATTGATTTTAAAAGTCTGCCGCTCTCACTGAGTCCTTTGTTTTAAATCAATTTAGAATTTCTGACAGTCCCCAGGACTGATTGTCTTGCACCTGAAACTGAATTTTAAACAATTGAAAAATGTGACTTAAAAAGCTAGATGAACCTCCCTTGAAGCAGGTGGAGGACAGGTTGCAGGGCTTAATCATTTAGACATGTGCCAGCTCACTTCCCGTGGGCCAGCAAGCAGCAAATCTCTGAGCTTACCAACACACAGAGAAGTTAGTGAACAGTAAGCAGAAGTAAGCTAGCGCGCAAGCTAACCTAAAAGGGAAATAACTTTCCTGCAAGTAGCGCACAATAAGAGATCTTAGGCAAGAAATGTAGTGCCTATAGCTAGTACCAATGCGTGCAACCAAGACCTCTCTTGGAGCAAAGGCCTGTAATCAAATGAGAGCATGGAAGTCCATGAGGTGGCATAGTTGCTCCACGTGGAGATTATAGGTTTCAAAAGAAAACATTTTGTAGTGCCAGCAAAGCATATCTTGCTGCATATCGGTTATTTCTAGCAGCACCTTGGCTATGAGAGGTGTGAAAATAGGGTCCAGGCCTAGCCCCCAAGTACTCACACGCTAAATAAAACAGACATTCAAGAAAGTGACTGATTCCAGTTCTGAAATCTATAAGCACATCTGCTACAGGTTAAGACAATACAACTGCAACCATGAAAATAACCCTCCACCCGCATTTCCCTCAACCTCCCTAAATTCCTGGGTAATAACATGTTTAACTGTTCCTGCGAGCTCTGCACAACAAACAAATGTGTAGTTTTTGCAAATTAAGCTGTAGTGATGTGACCCAGATCTGATAGGAGTTTCCTTTACATCATTCTCAACACTTCCGTTGCCATAACAAAAGGCAACTCCACTTTCTGTTCAGAGTATTACTTGCTCACAGGGAAACAAACTGTTGTTCTCCTAATAACAATCCTCTGATGCATAAATTGCATGGAATAATTTGATAAAAATGATGGTAGTGGTGTCTCAGAGGACACAGTATGCTTTGCACAAAAGTCTCCTCTTGGAGATCTTGGACTTCTCTCAAAGAGAATGTCCCCCGGGCTCCAAGGGAGGCAATAGGCCCTGTGAAGGGACAGCCAGATCTGACATCACCCAAGAGCAGTTGGAGATCTCAGCAAGTGGACAGATTTGGCAATGATAAAGGACAGCTTAAAAATATCTTTCAAGTTTGCTAGATGGAATAAAAACTAATGGTTTTCTAAATTCAATTAAGAAATGCTAAAGGGAGTACCTGAATTCTGTATTTCATATCTCGGGACTTTTTTTTACACATCCTCATCTCACAATGACGCACACAGAGAAAGAGAGGGACTGTAAACTAGTGAGACTGTCTAGAAGTATGTGTGTGTAAACATGAGTTGAGATTTTCTTCATGCTTCAGCCATTCCTTTGGAGCAGAACTAAGTAGCTTTACCATAATGAAACCAGAGATACCCTCTATCTTCCACTCATCAAAACTAAACTTTTCAGTCTAGCAATTCTACTTATATCTGTGCTAAAGGATGAATCCAAGATGACAGAATCGCCCTAAGCTCAGCGCTGAGAAGGGATGAAGGTGTCTGTGTAACGCAGGGTAGCCCCCCCCCCCCCCCACTGTCATTATCTTCCTGAGACAAGACCAAAAGAAGCTGTTCCAGAACATCATCTAGTGAACTGTAGTGATGCTAAAAAACTTCAAATATTCCTGAATAATGGCTTCATGTGGACTTTCTATACTCTGAAATGAAATTGCAGGCAGAATAGTAATTCTGAAAAAAATTGTCTCCCGGGAAGCGTTATACCAGCATAAGGCTTACAAATGGTGAGGAAACAAACACAAAAGGTTTGGGCTTTGGGAAGTGAAAAGTTATGGGTGGGATCCCAGAGGAACAGGAGACCTGTGGGACAAACAGATGATGAGAGAGGCAGAGAGATTCCCCAGAACTGTGCAGCATCTCAGGGTGACAATGAGAGACGCGACCAAGTGAGAGGAGGGGGAGTTGGTGTGATGGTGAAGCCAGGAAGAGTGGCCAAGGCATGAAATAATCCTGCACACGCCAGAGCCTGCAATACCTCTCTAGCAAGGCAAAGGCAAATCTGGGTTGGGGGGGGGGGGAGAGGAGGGGTGTCCTTCTTAAAAAGATCGTCATTTCTATTTATAGCAATGGTCAGTGGAAGCTTCCTATGCCTTGTGGTTCTGAGAAGGCTCAGACACCAGCACGCTCAGTGGCTAGGAAAGGCAGGATCAGCCTTGTGTTCATGGAAAATGTGAGGTTGTGCTGACACTGGTGGAAATGCTCTATGCTGCTAGCTGTAAGGCAGAGCCTCTGCCACCATGGCCGGCTGCCTCTCCTGTCTGCATCGCGAATGCGAGCTCAGCCTGGGGCAGGTGTTAGCTGCACTAAGATTTCTATCTTGACACCTACTGGCTTGCAGCTGAGGAACTTCCTGGAGCCCCTGGAACTGGGTGGGAATAGCAAGCTCTACGAGGAAGAGGCTATTTAACTTCCAAACGCTGATCTTCCAAGCATTAAAGATGTATGTTTGGGGCAGGCCTGGTGGTGTTTACACCCTCCTTCCCTAACCTGTTTTCCAGCCTTACATCTTTCGGGTTCAGAGCCATGGAATAAAAGAGTGCCTTCTCCCAGGGGGTGAGCTATTGCACAATGAATTGCATTAAAACCAAATTGTTACCCCACAGGGCAGGGATCACACGACTTAAAGAGATGTTAACAAGCCATGACAAACCTCTGGCATTAGAATTTTCAAGCAAGCTGTTCTGCATCTAAAGCAGTCACTAAAGATCACACAGCATCTGAAAAATGAAGGCTGCAGCAATGAGTAACCTCTCTCTGCTCCACTCCAGAGACCTGGCCATAGGAAGCAGGGCTGTGATTTGCACACTATCTGAACCTGATTATGTCTAATTTTTTGCATACAGAGCATGGAAAGGATCCTGGCTGAGGCATGGAAAATATGTGGCCACATGAGTCATTCTGTAATGGTTCATAAATCCTGAGAGAATCACAAAAAGCAAAACATCTAACGTTGCATCTTCCCTGTCCCTGCCAGTGGAACTCCACCTCTCAACACACTCGGCACAAGGATGTGGGAATACAGCAAAAGCAAAGGAAATAGAATCATTTTCTCCTTGGAATAGAGGAATCTCATCAAACAGCAGCCAGGCTCAGATTTGCAACCTTCACAGAAGAGGCCATTCATAAGCCGAGCAGAAAGAAACGAACTATTGCTCAGGTTGCCAAACCAAATTTACAGTTCCTACTGCCCGGACTCCAGCTTCTGTGTTTACTCCCTTGCAGAGCCAGGCAGGAGACTGGAGAGCAAAAGCCTAAAACCCAGCAGCCTCTCAAGCTATGACCTCTTGCCTGCCCACTTGATTGCCGGGAAGTGGTCATGCCGGGGCATTTACAGAGGTGCTGTGAGAGGATTTGGGATTTCCCCAGCAATGCTGTGCCAGGCAGCTGGCAGAGCATGGAAGGGATCTGCACTCTCAAAGAGTTAAGGAACGGGGATCCAAGCAGCAAAGGATGCTAAAGGTTCAGGTAACATCTGCCAGTTCAAGGGGCCCTTCTTACAACCCTGCATGGGTCGTCCCCATACAACAAACAGATATGGTGTTGCTCCAAGGTGTTAGCTAGCAAGGAGGCGTGCTCTACCCTCTTGGGGGTTTACTGGGTGGAGACTACACATCGCTGGACAAATACAGCTCTCCTCAGGACAAGAGTGGCTGAAATTCACCATTATCTGCCCAGCAGCAGACACATCCTGTGGGCTCTTGTCTGGCCCCTTTCCTGCTGGATGGAGCTGCTCTCCCTGTTCCTGGTAGTTTATCAGTGGAAGCACAGTCCCTCTGTTGAACCCTGAGACCTTGACAGTTATCGTTCATTTGGTACAGCACTCCAGGCTGGTGCTAGTGCCGATTCTCTCCAGTGCAAACAACTCAAGAGTCAGGACTTTTAATCAACCTCTGCAGTGAGGTCAAGAAGGAAGACGCAGGAGCTCTGTCCCCTGTCTAACCAGGGAGCAGGAGGAGAAATAGAGGTGAACACTGAAAGGCCCAGCCTGACCTGAGGGCTGCAAAGGGGAAACTAAGAACCATTAACTGCCACAGTGTGAGGCTGCAGGAGCCCTGTGTAACCCTAATCCCAGGGAGCTGGAGAGGTCTGTCTGGATCTGAAGCTCCCCTGCACTTCTTTTATGCTTCTGTGAGAGGATGATATCTTGTCATGTCATCAGGAAACTTTTTGAAACAGGGTGGTGGGGAAAGACCTTGGATCTCCCATGTGGCCACTTGGATCTCTCCCAAGAGTGGGTGGCGAGGTGCTTGGTGCAGATCAGAGGTGTTCAGGGACGGTGGGTTTGGTTTATTCGCTAAACCAAATTCAAGCTGCATCAAACCCGGCCACATCTGGCATTTCCAGGAATATTCTGGAGGCGGAAGGAGGCTCAAATGAGTCACTTAAACCAAGGGTTCTCTCTGACATACTGTGGATCTGGATACATATGCCCCTCCCTGGCCCTCAGCTGACGCAGGAGCTAAGCATCTGCTTAGACAATGCAAACCCTGGGAATGTCGTGACAGCCTGGTGCTTCCGCCAGTTAAGGACTGATAGAAGGAAATGCGTAAGCAGGGTCAGTAATACTGCTGTCCTCACGCAGCTCAGAGCACGGCAGTGCGTTACCGGTTCCTGCTCCAGCATGGAGACCCTCAGGAACAGACGGCTGTCACACAGGCTTATGCTGTGCTGCGCCTTTTGGGGACTCTGCTTGGCCTCTTCAGACTACGATGGTGAGTGTATGTATTTGGGTGAAAAATTCCTTCTTAAAGTACTGGATACTTGGTATATTCATAAGGTCCCTGAAAATTCATTTTTGTGAAGTTATCGTATGGATGCACACTCTAATTGAGATGGGTGCAGACTCTAATTGAAGCAGGAGATGATAGAAGATACTTATGGAAGAGAAGAGAAAGAAACTGAGGTGGGACAGCTTAGAGGAGGAGTAAAACAGGGAGCACTTGAAACCAAGCCTTCAGCTTAAAGTTAGGCTCCTGCAGCCACAGCTTTCCCTGGGGCGGGGGGCTCCAGACCTGAGGATTCTTCCGAAAGCTGCCTGGAGGAAGCGCTCTCCAGCTCTCTAGGCCTGCTGAGAATTATATGATACAAAAATCATTTGTGAATTGTGGGAAACCACACAACAGAGGAACAGTGTAAGTTTGCACGGGCTTGCAGAAGACACCAGTCAGAGCAAGTCAGGCCTGAAAAAGAAGGTAAAAGGCTGCTCGAGCAGGAAGCATTCACTTCTCTCAGAACGGATCATTTGGTCAGGACAGGCTGGTTACTGATGTTTATCCCTGCACACTTGATTCTGTCAGTCAGTTTTTTCTGACCTTCATACAGTTTACAAAATTCTCTCACTTCTAGGGACCCCAACATAAAATGCAAAACCTTAGTGGCTGGGGTAAGTGTTACACATCCAGCCTGCTCTGCAAAGTGCCAGTCCCCAGGCAACTGCCCAAACAGCAAGTAACAAGACTGTTTGCCTTGACAGATTACTCTCAAAACAGCACCGAGCAGGTAACAACATCAGAGAACACACCGTGTCCCCGAGCCATTCCTGGGGAAAAGGCGATGATAGACAACACCACGTACCTGATAATCCACGAGGCCTCCCGCTCCCAGCTGAGAAGCATGGTCACAGTGCGGCTCATCCCCTGCCTCTACACCCTCGTCTTCCTGGTGGGGCTGCCTTCCAACGGGCTGGCCCTCTGGGTGCTGGCCACCAGGGCTGAGAAGCTGACCTCCACTGTCTTTCTGATGAACCTGGCTGCAGCAGACCTGCTGCTTATCCTGGTGCTGCCCTTCAAGATTTTCTACTATTTCCTGGGGAACAACTGGCCCTTTGGGGAAGGCCTGTGCCGGCTCACCACAGCTTTCTTCTATGGGAACATGTACTGTTCAGTGCTGCTGCTCACGTGTATCAGTGTTGACCGGTACCTGGCTGTGGTGCATCCTTTCTTCTCACGCTCTTTCCGCACCCCTGCCTTTGCTGCCTGCATCTGCACTGCCATCTGGCTCTGTGCTGCCATCCTCACCCTGCCCCTGACGCTGCAGCAGCAGTCGTATCCCCTGTATGGAGCAGACATTGCCCTGTGCCATGATGTTCTCCCCAGGCATGAGGATGACGAGTATTACTTCTACTACTTTGTCTGCCTGATTGTCTGTGCTTTCCTTGCTCCTCTGGTGGTGACACTGTTCAGCTACTGCTCAGTATTGCGAGCCCTCCTGGACAGCGGAAAGCGGTACTCCTACACTATGAAGCTCACTGCTCTCGTGCTGTTCACACTTGTAGCCTTCTATACACCCAGCAACGTTCTCCTCCTTGTTCACTACTCCAGCTATTGCTCCAAGCTGTATGGTGACCTGTATATCAGCTACATGGTGAGCCTGGCCATCAGCACCTTTAACAGCTGCGCTGACCCCTTTATCTACTACTATATTTCTGAAGACTTCCGGGATAAGGTGAGGAGAAGATTCTTCAATCGCAGCAAAAAAACCACCACATCCTTGAAAACATCCAAAGAAACACTCCCTCCAAAAAGTTCCAAAGATTCACCGGCGTGAAGCCTCCATCCCAGCTCCCCACTCCCAAGGCACTCACAAAAGATGGTGGGGTGAGACAGAGACAACGCTGAGACTCCACAAGTTTCATCCAGAGCAGAGAGCAATATTTTCTAGGAGACAAATCCTGGTAAGGAAGAGACAGGTTCTTCTGTTTGTATGCTAAGACTGAATTAACTTGGGCCATGGGCTTTCCTGTGAGGTATGCAGTCCAGAGAAAATGTGGAGTGCTGAACACGTACAGATCTGTTATGGGGACACCGTATGCAACTTCTCATCTGCTCACGTACTGCCAGTGGCACTCCTGCCAATGTAGCTAGGTTTGGTTTTCTTAATGCATCTTACAACCTGGTTGCTATGCGTGTTCTATTCCTTTCTCTGCTATTGCCTTGCTTGCTGTCCTTGATCAGATATTCCCTTCACCTGAGCTGAAAAAGAACAGACACTTGCAAAATCAAATTTCTGAACATTTCAGAAGTAAAAGGAGATGCCTATGTGAAAGATACTCCCCTGAGCTAAAATATTATTCCAGGAGCGTGGAACGCTGGCTTCTCTAGCAATTACATTCTTGGCTTGTCTAGTAATTAACATCATGGTAATGTCAGCCCATTGTTGATAAGGAATGTAAAAAATCACATTCATTCATTCATTTCCATTTTCGAAGATGACCTTTAGCACCCACAATTACTCTGAGGCAAAGATTGTATTAATGAAAAAGGGTTTTTATGCCTCTTGAAGGGAAATATTAAAGAAGGAATTCAGGAAACCCTCACTCTGGAACTCCACGTTTCCTTTGTGCAACATCACAAGCCTTCTCTGCTGAAGCAGGTGACCAAGCTTGTTGCTCAGTCCAGGAACGTGTTGCATGTTTCACAAATTATAGCTAGCTTGTCCCTCAGACGCAGCTAGGGCACATCCCAGGGAGCAGCAAGGTAAAAAATGAGTGATAAACCTCCTGAGAGTTCTTGAATTCTTTGGTTTTACTGGTACAGGCATGACTTCTGTCCTCAGCATAACCTATGGATTTAGTTAGCTTAGAGCCTGCAACATGAATAAAGAGAGGCAAACAGGATTGTTTTAAAATCAGTTTTTAATAAAATATTTATCAGAATCTAAAACAAACCCTTTTCTGGACTCAGATTTGCTAAGATTTGTGTGAACAAACCAAAAATTGTCATAGAACTGTTTGTGTGTACATGTATGTGTAGGGTGAAATGCTGGTGAAAACTAGAGCCTAAGGGTGCAGTACTGCACATGCAGAGAACGTGCCAGCTACTGAATGCAGGAGACCTGGTGTAGCCAAGCTGGAAGCCAGGGCTACTGTCACTCAATCAGATAGAGTAAGTATTTAAAAAAAAAAAAAAAAGAGGAACAAAAAAGACTGCACTGAAGTTTCCTAAACAGATGATCACAATAATTAAATCCAGGTTATTGTGCATTAAATAGCGTTAGCAAAGCAAACGCTGCTGTTTTAATGATGTTCTTTAAGTTGGAAATTGTTCTGATACTTGTTTTCTACTGAGGATGATTAAGGAGGAGGAAGAGGAACAAGACCAAAACACGTGAACAAGAATGGACAAGGGAACTATTACTTTAAAATAAATATCATGGTAATGATTACTCCACATATTGTACAGTTACAAATATAAATACTAGTTTCATCAAAAGGATTGCAAGCAAAAATCAGAGATAACTAGCGCTGCTACAGCTAGTCAGTAATGTAACTTGATGTAAGTAAGCATCTCTGTGTCTTACAAACCCCCTGGCACTTTTCTCCTTTTGCAGTGAGGGACCATCAGAGAAGGGAAAGGAGAAGCATCTCTCTGACAGAGGGAGACAAGTGTGTCCAAGCCAGAAACAATTCAAAGCCCAAAGGAGCAGCAGTTTGGCTGTTCTTGCTGGCTCTGCACCACTAAATTGGTCTCCTCCTTGGTGAAAAAAAATATCAATCCCTTCTCTCCAGACTATGATGGGCTGATCTTCACAAAGTTAGAGCCTGAGTTTTCAGTGCTGAGATGTCCTTGTGCTCTCAGGGACAGGTGTGTGACTCTGATATGCTTCAGAGTCAGAACTATGCCAAAGCCTATGAATAACATCAAATCTGATAAGATCTGATAAATCTGTGTCCAGTGGTTCTCACAGACCTAGTCCTAAAGAGTTTCTGTAATTCAACCAGGACTTTACAGAATGGAGGAAAAATGAGTATTGATTTTTTTCCCTAGACAAAAAGAGTTAACAATGATGGCAAGAAACAGGAAAAACAAATTAGAAGCAAGGCAAAGCTGTGCAGAGTAGGACCATCAGTTGGAGTGGACAGGCTCTGGAGGACAGAGAGTTTTCTAAGGTGTCCTCCATGTGCCAAAAGCCTCTCTGCTCCATTACTCCTGTGATGGAGGAGAAAAGGCAGCCCCAACTCAGTAACTGCAGTTTTCTTTATTCAACTCCTTAAATAAGAAGACTGCTTTAACTGCAGAAAGTAGTTTGGCACGGTAGAATTGGGGGCAGGCAGAAGCTACCAACAGGTACCTAGGAATAGGGCAAGACTCATCCTTTAGCAGAAGAGCAAACGGGCCCTGAAAGTGCCAAAGCTGTGAAGAAGCACCCAAGGTGAAGTCAGGCTCCAGCATGTAGAAACTAGCACTTCACCTCACATGCAGTGCCCTGCTCTAACCACCTTCCTTTAAGGATGCTAAGCTTGCTTTGCCTCAGCCTTCTGGAGAATCCAAGTCTCCCTGCCAGTTCCTCTAGTGGCAGAACAGAAGCAAGACTCCCCTGCCCCAAACAGGTTAGCGCAACAACACAGAGCGACCCTGTGGAACAAGGCTGGGATTGATGGGCTGGCACCACCAGCAGAAATTATTCAGCTGGCAGCAATGGAGAAGACATCTGCATCTTGAACTAGTACATTACATTACTAGAACAGAGCCTGAGGGAAACGAAGGAAGTCAAGATTAGTACCTGGCTAAGGCTCCCTGCCTTCATCTCCATGTCCCCAGGGGTGATGTTGTCTGACTGCCCAAGGATCTGAGAGGACCAAGCAATATAAAATGACGTCAAATACCTATCTAAAAACATTCAATGGATGAGACAAGGAAACTAAAGCCAGAAAGGAAACAAGGACAAGAGGCTGGAGAACCCAGAGCATAGATCCCATCTTCTGTGGGAAGATAGTCACGCAGACATTGTCAGGGTGACTAAGTGTCTCATTTTCCCAGACTCAAAGCATTAAACAACTGAGGTTGGAACCAGCAAACAGCAGGGTTTGCATTGTGCAGCTTTGATATTTAGAAAAGAAAAAACAAAAACACAAAAACAAAAGAAAAAAACCTCTTGTTGCAGCTCACACTAGGTCTGTTATTTACCCAGGGGATAAATATTGACTCAGGCCTGTGTGTATACACAATAGCCAGTGTCTGCCAGGCCAGTTGCTTACACGGAGATGGAATTTAGTTTAAAGGCATTTATTTACCTGCCAGACAGGAATGCAGCCGCCAGTGCTTCCGCTGTGCTGTGGGGACACAGTGAGGACATGGTCTGTTCATGCACACTGAAGAGACGTGGCAAAAACCTCTGCTGAGAAGCAGTGGGTACATATGGGCAGCGGCCACGTCAAGATTCTGTGAGGAGAGCTCAGAGCAGCCACGAAAGAAGGCTTGGAAACTTGCCAAAAAAGCAGTTCTGAAATTTCTGGGAACTTCAAGACCCAGACCTTCATCATGTCAGCTACATTCTGCAAATATCTGGCTCCAGACAAAAAAGACTGGAAACTACATATGCCCAACTTCTGGGATACCTCCTATTTCGTCCCCATGTGGACATTTTTCTGGAATAAAATTGCTCTTATTCTGGAATGGAATGTCTATACTGGGATATATTCTTGTCCGAGTTCCTGTGTAAACAAGCCTTAAAAATGAATGGAGTTGGGCTTTTTCCTGTTTCCATTCACCAATAAACACTCTCAAAAGACGTTTCCACCCCACTCTGGGTCCTGGTAACAATAGAAGTGGGAAGATAAAATATTAACGCTATTTTGCAACAGGCAGTTGCATGTAACTCCTCCAAAGAGGACAATGCTGCTCTAGGCAAGAGGGGAGACCAAAAAATGTTGGCTCTCAACATTTTGGAGACACAAAGCTTTTGTTTTTTGTTTCACCACATTGCTTGGGGCAGGTCAGTCTAAGGGAGTCCAGCCTCTGTGACACCAGAGTGGTTTGCACTGGCCAGCAGACCCAGGGCCCTATGGACTACGTATAGTAAAACATATTCAGAACAATCATTGTATGGGGGTCCTGGTGGGAGCAGAATAAAAGTGACTGGGGAAATCAGGCAAGCATTTAAAAGGACTCTGCCTTGGGTCAGTTTTATTTTCATGTCAGGGTTACAAGGAGGAAAAGGGGTTGCAGAGCTGAGAAGGCTGCACGCAGCACTTATCAGCACATAGTGCAACATGAAGGGGGCTCACTCACTTGACCCTTGTCACCGGTATGGCTCGCAATATCCCCAGCCAAAGCCTGCAGCCACATTGTGGACTGTCAAGCTTTCCAGCCCTGTCCGATGGACAGTAGATTTCCGTTCTCTTGTAAAATGGACCTCCTAACTTCTTTGACAAACATGGAGGCACTAGGAAAGTTTCTCTCTCGTGAGACAGTGCTGTGGGTGCAGTTGACTTATGGGCTGGGGAAGATGATTAACCTCTTGCTATGTTGTAATTAGCAAAACACTGATTTTTATTATTATAATTTGAGAGAAAACTCCTCAGCCATTTTTCCCTCAAACAACAGTTCAGCTAAGCACAGGGCTTGGACTTGGCTTCTAAATGGAGCTAGGAAATGGCATTTGTGGAATTTTGGTAATAGAGAAAACACTCTGAAGTGGCCTACAGGTTTGAATTCCAGCCTCTATTTTTCTCACCTAGAGGGGGACAGCACATTGGTCTCCCATCCTTGGAAGTACTCCTAAGAGGATGCACAAAAGGCAGCAAAACTGACAGGAAAAATAATGCTGAGTGTCCCCCTTAGAGCTCCAGATCCCCCCCATGGGGCAGCAAAGCCTACAGTTCTGAGGGCATCAGGAAGTAGTCATCATTTGGTTTCTGTTCTGCAGCA